GTTGTATACATGTTAAGGATTTATATACATGTATATAAATGTTATAGCAATATATACATGTTAAGGATTTATATATGTTGTATATAAATGTTATACATGTTATATACATGTTAAGGATTTATATATATGTTGTATATAAATATTATTACATGTTATATGCATGTTAAGGATTTATATACATGTATATAAATGTTATAGTGTAATATACATGCTAAATATTTATATATAAATATATATAACCCTAGTCTCCATAGTCATAGTCCAGTATTTATATAACATGTTGTATACATGTTAAGTACTTATATACATGTATAATACATGTTATAACATGTTATATACATATTAAGTATTTGTATACATGTTGTATATAAATTTTATAACATGTTATATCCATGTTAAGTATGTATATACATGTTATATCCATGCTGTATATACAAGTTATTGTTATTGTTAAGTCAAGTCAACTCCTATTTATGGTGACGTATTATACAGTCATACAGAGTGGCTTGAGTGTCGGACTGTGACTCTGGAGACCAGGGTTCAAATCCCTGCTCAGCCATGGAGACCCACTGGGTGACCTTGGGCAAGTCACACTCTCTCAGCCTCAGGGGAAGGCAGTGGTAACCCCTTCTGAACCAATCTTGTCAAGACAACCCCATGGGGTTGCCAGAAGTTGGAAATTACTTGAAGGCACACACCACCACCACCACCAACAACAAACATTAATATATTATGGAGAAGGGAGATGAACACTGAGATAGAAAATATTTAATTTAAAACACACACATGCAGAAAAACCCAACAACTGCTCACTGTCCTTAAAAGCCTAGGTGATTTTTAAAAGGTGGGTTGTTGTAGTTATTGTTGTTTTTGTGTGCTTTCAAAGCAGTTTCCGACTAACGGTGACCCTACAACAAACCTTTCATAGGGTTTTCTTTACAAGATTTGTTCAGAGGAAGTTTGCCTTTCCCTTCCCCTGAGGCTGAGAGAGTGTGACTTGCCCAAGGTCGCCCAGTGATTTGTATGGCCGAGCAAGGATTTGAACCCTAGTCTCCAGAGTCATAGTCCAATGCTCAAGCCACTACAAAACATTGGCTGTGGTGCCCCAAAAATAATCGAGAGGCTGTTGCAGATAAGCTTCCTTGCAGATGGAGTTGCAAAAGCGTAATGCGCCAGCAAAAAAGACCACGTCTCACCTCATGCCTTGTCTGTAATGGTTTAGGGATCTTCAGGATTTGTTTCTAATAAGGTTCTTCCTTTCTTGTGGGAAGAGACTTGGGGCCTTTGCAGAGTGCTAGAAATAGTGCAAATTGAGTCCACTTTTAGGGTTAGGGTTAGGGAATCATGGGAACTGTATTTTATTGTGGCACCAGAGCTCTCTGATAGAGAAGGCTCAATGTCTCAGAAAAAACTACAATTCCCATGACTCCCTAGCACTAACCCTAACCCTAAAAGTGGACTCAATTTGCACTATTTCTGGCAGTCTGCAAAGGCCCTTGCTATTTTAATCTTCAAGGTATTTAGATTCTGGAAATTAATACAAACAGTTTGGACTAGGCCTGCAAAGGAGTGTACCAGGAGCAAGTGAAGTCATTTCCAAAAAAGCATTTTATGTTGTTGCAATGAGCTGTCAAGCTGGCTTCAACATACGGCCAAGAGATGATGTTTCTCTGTTCAGATCTTACAAACTCAGGGCTATCTATGGCTTCCTTTATTGGGTCAGACCTCTTTTCCTACTGCTTTCCTCAAGTTTTTCCATCATTATTGCCCTAATTTTGTTCTGTCCAAAATAGAAATGTAGCTGCTACATTCTGTAGTTAGATCAGACCAAGGGTACATTGCAATACCTAGAGTTCATATGAAGCACCGCCAGAGCTTGATAGGAGGATTGTAGCTTCAATTGGTTGATTATCAATCCTTCTATTGGATTAATTATTATTTTGCTCCTGTGTGCAATTTGCACATCTTTCTAGACAGCAAGTTGTTGAAGCTGGTGGGGTTTCTTTCTGGGTGGGCTTACGTAGGATTGGACTATGTTTTTAAATACAGCTTCACGTTATCAAAAAGGCCTAAAATGATCTAAAATTTAAGGGGGAAAACATGCTTTGTTAGAAGGGAAGGACCGTATTTACCGTAGTATTTTATTTTCCAGTTCCTTTCAGTGATCTATTAGTTCCAGTATTACATGCGCTTCCTTAGATTGTATCCCATAAAATAAAACTTATACTCACAAACTTTACTTGATTAATTGTCCACTTTAACTAATGTTTGGACTTAAAATCT